AGAGAGAGAGAGAGAGAGAGAGAGAGAGAGAGAGAGAGAGAGATAGAGAGAGAGAAAGATAGGCTGCAAACTTCTATAAAAGATTGTTTAATGTCTACATGAGATATAAGAGAATAATATAGCATCATCCATCATTTGGCTGGCAGTGCGAGTCTCTTTGGCGTTTCCCATTAAATTGCTCTTCTGTCGTTTGAATAAATAATGCTGTAAATTAAGTAACTAGAGCTCACTACTCAAAATTCACATAGAGCACAAATGCACTTGGCACTTTCCTGGACGAACATGCGAGCATCATCCGCCGGAGCCAGAGCCAAAGAGTGGCGGACGTGGGAGCCGTAGAAGAAGTTGTGTGCGGGACATTGGAATGATTTCATTTACTTGCAATCAATGAAATTGCACTGATGCAATTTCGCTGGGCCAAAATAAACAACAACTGGAGTGGGGAATGGCAAAAGTAACAGTCGCAGTAAAAGTAACTTGCAACTTGCTACTTGCAACTGTTGCAGGAATGTGGGTGCGGGCTGCTGCTGACTGCCTGACTGCCCGACTGTCTCTGTCTGTCTTTCTGTCTATCTGTCTCTCTGTCTGTCTGTCTCTCTGTCTGTCTGTTTGTCTGCCCCAACAGATGCCGGGTCGACGTCAATGTTTAGGTCTCGCGGTCTGCAGCCAGGAATTTCTCATATTGCAGCCGGGACATTTCTGGCTAACAGAACGTTGCACCCGGGTAAGCGCCGGGACCGGCACCAGGACAGGGAACGGGATGAGACCTTACGCAGCGACTGCTCTGACTTCTGCCTTACGGCTGTCTTATGCTGATAGTTCACGCGCTGCCATTGAAGTTAAGCTTGGGGGACTGGGTGTGACAGCCAGCACAGGGATTTGAGAAAAATGTCAGCTTGCTTCGAGTCGAAAAATGAGCAGAAAACGTAGTCAGGGTAGGTGAGTACGCCTTGGCGGTGCGTAGTAGCTCCCAGCTAACCACCGCCTTAACCCATCCACAGTAGAGCGTCTCCGACGCATCGTGCCGCGCCCGAGGAGGAAGGCGATAGCTCGTCACGGAGAATGACTGCATCGAGGATCGATGCTGAGACGGTGCTCTCTGATGCGACGGGTCCCAGCGCCGATGAAGGTCAAGAAGAGTTACCAGTGATTCTGTCGACGCCCGTCATCCTGGTGGCTGGTCCATCACCGCCTGAAAATGACGATGCAGAGGCGAGCACCGATCCTGAGTGCCCGCGCAGACACGAGATAGGCGGCCCTGATGGCGCACGAAGGGGGGCATCTCAAAGCCAGGGTGTGCAGACGAGAAGATACTCCGGCAACTCAAACGACTATGACAGAGAAGAGCCGCTGCTCACCAAGAGGACTAAGGTATACAAAAAAAGTACGTTTGATATGTTTGAATTTGTGGAGAATACTTCAGTCTTGACAACCGTAAGCTTGGGAGGATATGAATGGACTTTAGCAAGAACTTAACTCTTAGAACTCACTTTTAGAGTTGTTCGGCTAGTTCACTCATCCATTCCTAAACATCTCCCCTCTTTTCGCTGTTTTTAGGAGGCGTAATACAAAATCTCGCTGTCGATGTGTCCGACGATTCGATCCTGGGCGCTGTCTCGTCATCCCACCCTTCATACAAGTCACAGCTAGTATCAGGAAATGATATGACAGATTTTCCGCAGTCTGAACCGTCGGATAGGGGAAGAGCAACCGAAAGCAGTAGCAGCCTCATGTACAGCAGCAGCGGTACGATAATTCTCACCGAAGCGGAATTAATGGACCTAGATCCAGTTGACTTTCAGCATGGCAATCTGCCGCCGCACATGAGGCTGGAGTCCGGCCTGGCCTTCGTAAGTGGGTGAGTGGAGGCCGTTAGTCAGTCGCTACTGACATTCGCTTGTAATTACCTCCTAGATTTACATGGCAATACCGCCGGACGGTGGCTTTGGCTGGGTCGTGCTCATTCTCAGCTTTCTTGCCCAGCTAATCGTGGATGGGATAATTTTCTCGATTGGCATTCTGCTGCCCGCTATGGAGAAAGACTTCAAAGTGAGCACCTCCGAGGTGGCCCTGGTGGCCAGCATACAGATTGGATGTTACTTCATGGGCGGCGCCTTTTCTAGTGCGTTGATCAACAGCTACGGATTTCGGCCTGTGGCCATGCTGGGCGTGGCCATCTCAGCGCTGGCCTTGTTGGTGGCCAGCTTCAGTCCGAACCTGACTGTCATGATACTGGTCTATGGCATCGTTGGTAGGTACCGAGTGGGGCTGTCTGTACTAACAACCAACTACAAAGGCCGCAGTCGCCGCAGGTGGGCCCGGATTGAGCATGATCTGGGTGAGCTCGCAGCTCATCATTGGATTCTATTTCGAGCGCTATCGTGCACTGGCCAGCGGCGTCTCCTGCTCTGGTGCCGGTGCTGGCATTTTGATCTTTTCGATTACTAACAATCTGATGGAACAGCAGTTTGGTTGGCGAAATACGGTTCGGTGTCATGCCTTCTTCGTCTGTCTTCTCATTTTTGTGTCGATGGCCTATTTGGAGGTGAAGCCATCGCCAGTGGGCGTAGTCCACCGTTTTCCGGAGATCAGCTCCACCTCTTCCGAGTACTATGGCAATTTCTACGTCCACAATTTTCTGAGCGAAGACCTTTCCATGAAGAGATCCCATCCCGTGCTAGATACGTTCGAGCCCAACAAGAAGAAGGAGACCAAGCGCAAACAATGTAGGAACTTTATTTGTCCCTGTTGTGCCAATCTTGATCATGACGATGACAAGTCCATGCGCTCTGAAGTCAACTATCTGGTGCGGCCGGATCCTATGCAGCGTGACGATCTCTTCTACACGGGCCCCATTGACTACGACGAGCCGCATCGCAGGGAGCAGTTTGATGGCAAGGAACTCGAACTGGTGGGCACCGAGACTCATGTAAGCGGACGACATCAATGCCCGGACAAGGATCTGAGCACGTTTTCTCTGCTTTCTTCTAGCTGCAAAGTGCCGCCTATGGTCTGCACAATATTCACAATTATGACAGCACCGACATGTCGGAGTGGGTTTCCGTCTCTGACGGCTACGTGGAGCACCGTCCGGTCATTCACAAGCGGGCCGCGACCCCAGTTTCTACTCAACATAAACGCCACGTGTCACGCAAGAGTCGCTGCTGGATCCATCAGAAGATCTTAAAAGCCATGAATCGTCTGTTCGACATGCATTTGCTGAAGAGCTTTGAGTTCCGTGTGCTGCTGGCTTCCGCTTTCCTGTATCCCATGGGCTTCAATATACCCTTTCTGTACTCCAAGATGCGCACCACGGTTCCCAACCAATACGCCCAGATGATTGGCCCCGCCATCGGCACCTCCAATTTCATAGTGCGCATTCTGTGCGGCTTTGTGGCCTACAAGCTGAGAAACTGGACGAACTACATCTGTGGGGGTGGCATGGTGCTAGGCGGCATCGCGGTCCTAGTCAGTGCCTTTTTCGGCAGCGACTTAGTCTGGTTTCAGATTCTCTACGGGCTCTGCTACGGCGTTGCTCCAGGTGCCTTTTCGCAACTAAAGCATCACGCTTTGATACTCTGTTCACAAGATATTGTTTGACGACTGATCGGCATTTGACTTTTAAGCAAGACACTGACTTTAGGTAAATCTCTTTCAGGAGAATCCGGTTATAGCGACCGTCTTTATACCCGTAAGACGCTATGACCGTATAAGTTTGCTCATGTGTGTGTAGAGGGACCACACGTTTTAAGGGGAGTCGTAATAACCGTATTTTAACAGATCCTCGGTTTTTCTGCTCATTTTCCAACAAATCTGTTAACGAGCGTTACTCCCTCACTCACTCTTGCAGTAACAAATTTATTTGTTGATATTGACTACCGGACTTCACACCAAACCAATATACCCTTTTTGTAAAATTGTGAACAGAGTAGTCCCAGACAGTCAGCATTCTTGCCCATCCAGCCCTCATATCTTACCTGTAGCCGTTTCTCTCTTTTCAGCTGTCTATGCCACGTTGCGAGCCCTCATCTATGTGCGGTATTTGGGCCTCTCGAAGCTGACGACCGCCTTTGGCATTACAGCCCTGGTCATGGGGGTAGGCGTATTCCTGGGCACCACCTTGGGTAGTGTTATGGTGGAGACGACTGGCGGTTTCATGGCTGCATTTGCGTTTGCCGGCCTGTGCATAATAATGTCGGGAATGCTGAAGCTGATTTTGCCTGTTTTGATAAATTCGAGAAACAATCGATTGAAGAAAAATGCGGTTTTTGTTTAAAGTACAGTTTACGATGCATTGGTTTTATTCAATATTGTTGTTGCTTTTGTTCTTATAGCTTGTTGTATTTTACAAAATATTTTATGCACTTGCACGACTCGCTTGTATTCCTGTTCTGGCAATATATATTGTTTTTGTTTTTACATTTTTTATGTCTGTTTAAGGTCTAAATGGATTTATTTTACACTTTATTGGCTACTCAAACTGTGGCGCGCGCTGTGCATGTCCAACTGTCCGAACCCGGCTTCGACTTTTGTAACTAAACTCAAACGGAATATTTTTATTTTTTACTTTACATTTTATTGACTGACTCTAGCTAGGCTTCTCAAACTGCACAGCTATCGGTAATTGTATGTTCAATAATTGGCAATTCCCAAAGACCTATGCAGCTCGAACTGTGCTCTCCAATGCCTACTGTGTGACTCTCGAGCTGCAAGTGCTCGATGCAGATCAGAGATGAAATCAAATCAAACTCTTGATTTGAAACTTATATTGCTGCAATTTTACATACAATCTATGTTCCTTTCAAGCCTTCTGAATGACTGAAAACTATCGATATCTGAGTTTTAGCTAAAATTTGGTCGCATTGCCTACGCTGTACCTCTCAAACTGTCAGTTGATCAATATGACTGTCAAACGTTACTTTTATTTTGGTCTCTAATCTCCAATGAAACGTGTTTTCCGTTCTAATCGTTTTCCCTTATGTTTTGTTTGTGGCTCTCAAACTGTTTGAATTGAACTTGCTAGAATTTCATCGACTGCAGTTGCTTGACTTTTAGTTTTACTGTTATTGCATTCTGTTAAAGTTTAATTAGCTTAGTTTACATCTAATGTTAGCTTAATTGCTGTTACACACACACGCATACTTTCATAGTGTAAGAGCATGAGTGTGTGTTGTTTTTTATTTTGTATTACCTTGTTTGGTTACGCAAATGTTCACGCTTTGTATTTTTTGTTTTTTGTTTTTTTGGTTTGATTTGATTTTGAGTTAATATACTTTGATATGCGAGGGCGGTTTAATAAAATGCCAAAGGTAAGGGTTACAAAATCTCTTAAAATTTGGGACAACTGAAAAACTAATTTTTGTATATTAATTGTTTTCATTATAAATATTTTGTTAATATTTACTAAGCCGCTCTCGCACCGTCGCTTTGAATCTTAGATTTGTACGTCTACTATAAAGATTTTGTTAATCTCTTCTGTTTTCCTTTATGTATATATATATATATATATTTATATATTTATATATGACACATAATTTGAAAGATTCGCTTGATTTGTTTATACATTAAAATTAGCTTAAGCAACTGAATTAAAGAACTTAACGACAATTTATTGGGACTTTTAATTTTCTTCATTTCTTGATTTGTGTCAGCCAAATGAGTGAGAGTTCTCTTGCTTCACTTGATTCCTTTCCTTTAAATCCTTTTTTTTTTTAATATTGTCAGTAGTCTTCGGTTTCATATGCAATTTCCATGATTTTCCTTCCCTTCATTATTTTTCCATTTATATATATGTATGTATATATGTCGAAAATGTTACTGTCTGCATTTGCGTGCACTTTTAAAATCAATTTTCAATTTCGTATCGTAATCTAAATTTAAATTAAAATCGCTCAGCAGTTGTTGGGTTTTGTCTCTGCCTCTCTCTGGTCTCCCTTCCTTATTCCTTCTCGCTCTGTCTCTCTCTCTCTCTTCTTCTCTTCACTGTTGTCCACAAAAAGCAATTCTTACGCCTTAAATTAAAATTATATATATATGGCCTGGGCTGGGGCAGAGCGCGTTCATGTGTCTGAGTCGGACCTGCAGTCATTATGGAAGAAATTAAATGCATATTTGAATACAATTGAGCACATTGGGTATTGAGTGGGAATATACGAGGAAAGGGTGTACGGTGCTAGGGGTTAGAGACGAGGGGGCGATTGTCCGGCACTTACCAATTAAAATAGCTCTGCGGCCCGTGACAGTTGCGCTCTGTGCCACACCATTTGGACTGCTGGAGCGCCGGGCAGGGTCGGCCGCCGCGCTTGCCATGCTTGATGACTTTGCGATATCGATGCATCTCGCCGATGCCGCAGCTCTTGCTGCAGGCCGTCCACTCGGACCAGTGGCTCACGCGGCAGTCGCGACGCCGCTTGGACGCCGCCAATGAAGTGCGACGTCGCGTCGAGCCTGCGCCGGAGCCCGATGCAGTGCCCGATCCAGAGTCTACGCGTTCTGCTGTGCCCGCAGCCGAAACTGCGACCTTTGCCGGGTGGCCGGTTATGTTGTTGTTGTTGTTGGCCGCATCGTTGCGTCTGTAGCTGCTCGCAATGCTCTGCAGCAGTGCATGCTTATCATTCTTGGGAACCACGTTGCCCACTCCCGGCTGCTGGCTGTTGTTGTAGCTGCGAGAGCGACAGAGCAGGCAAAAGTGTATATCAAATTAATTAAAAGGAAGATATATAATATTGATAGGGTGCTCAAATTACGTACATATATGTATTTCATTAAGGAATAAATATCTATATATATATATATTACTTAATATGTATTTGATATGATGGAACATAAATCTGAATAAATGTATATCTTTTCTAAAGTCTAGTAACATATTGAGTCAGAATATCTGTATTATATACTGCTAGTAGATATATCGACAAAATAAACGATTGGATATTTCAATCAATAATTGTAATTAATTAATTAATTAATTAATTAGCACATTTTGTAAAGCTTCAAGTTTTTGAAAATGAAAGTCTTAATTAAACAAGTAAGAAAGCTCTAGTCGAGACTGCTCGACTACGAGATCCCTTGAATCCTACAAGCAACTGATATTTCAAAAATAATTAGCAAACACACACACACACGCATACATACAAATACACGCACACACACACGCATACAAACAAACACACGCA